ACAAGACACAACCCACTCAGTGATCTCAGAAATGCTCGTCTTTGAATTGTGGAGAAATCAGTAAGTACGCCAGAAAGCGTTTGTAACTAACACTAACAGAAAAGTGTTACTTAGAATTGATGATGAAGTTGGGGAGAAAGAGGCTGCAAAAGCCCCTGGAACCTTGTATTTTAGCTTAATGCCTTCAGTTTAGCCTGGATGTCTTCCTTCAGGGCCATTGATTCTTGATCATAAGTTATTCTCCTCAAATTGTTGAGTGTAGACTAGTTATGTGTGATGCAGTGACTTGATGTATTCCTCCCACCTTTGGCTGCTTCCTGCATTGTTAGATGTGTTGTGCATATTATTGCTAGGTCTCATCCAGTCATTTCTGATGTGCACCTACCCTCTGGACAAAATTACAAAGTACTCCCCATCCTGCGCCATCCCCACAGCTATTCCTATGCTTGGGCCCATAGTTTCAGCTGCTATGTCAATCAATTTTGTGGAAGGCCTTCCTCTTTTTCATCGCCCTTCTATTTGACCAAACACGATGTCTGAGTTAGTTAATTGTGCCAGCCTGGCCGATAATCACATGTGGGTCTGGTTGAAAGGCGGAGGGATAAATGGGTGGTGAAGCCTCGCCTTTCTAGTTCTCAGGTCCCTTGCTTTGTGATGGTCGCACCAGGATGCAACTGCCTTAGCAGCTTCCTGCTTCAGGTTGCAAGATTGACATCCTACAAGACATCCCCAAGGAGAAGCCGCATGGACCTATCCCGATGCAGCCCTGGGTGCAGGAGCAGCCTTATGGAGACCCCTGCTAGTGCTGAGATGCTTACACGTTCACTGACTCAGCGTTCCTCCTGCAGTCGGCATCATTGCCTCTGTTTTGTGAGGTGAAGGACTTTGTGGACTGGTGTTGGGTATGGGTTAATGTTGGACTTGTGGGCTTGGGCAGCATTGGGTTGGGATGTTTTTGTGATGCACATTTTCTTTGCATAAAACTCTCTCTTATATGTGAGTTGCTGTGGATTTGTTTCTCCAAAGTACCCAGACTAATACAATGTCCTTCTCCAGGGACAGGTTTCTCCTGACAACAGGTTCACAGTATGTAAGAGGAAGTGTCGCTATCCTTGCTTCTAAGGAGCAATCAAACTGTATGTCTTCTTTTTGGCCTTTTGGTCAGTCCATGGTACTTTCAATATTCTTTGCCACCACCACAATTCAAATGCATCAATTTTTCCGTGGTTTTCCTTATTCAATGTCCAACTTTCACAGACATATGAGGCAATCGAAAATACCTAGACTTGAGCCAGGCATCCCTGAACCTTCATGGTAACATCCTTGCTTTTCAATACTCCAAAAAGCTCTTGGGCACCATATTTACCTAAGAAAATGTGTTTTTTGATCTCTGGACTGATACCTCCTTGAGCATTGATTGGGCTCCAAGCGAGAAGACATCCTTGATGAAGTCAACCATTTCTCATGCTGTTTTCTGTGAGTGTGGTTATGAGGATTGGGTCTTCTTTACACTCAGTTGTAACCCATACTGAAGGCTGCCAATGCCATATAGTCATTAGCAAGTGCTTGCAGGTCCTTCACACTGTCAGCAAGTAAGGACCGTGTTATACAGAAAGAGAGCAATATAAAAGATAACTCAAAATTACAAGAAAAACCATGTTTACTGGTTAGATAAAGACTAATAGGGCCCTCAATACTGGCCTTTCGTCACCTTCCAGTCTGATATTGAATTTACTGCAGGGGTAGAATAATCAAACATTTAAGATAAAAGGGGAAACATTTATCAAAGGACAAGAATCAGAGGGATAGGAAAGGAGAAGGAATGGAACCAGGAAATACAGGAAGAAAGTGAGATAAGTGATGGTTCATTAAGGGGGTTGTAATCAATTACTTGGGAAAAATGTGCATTAATTGCTGAATATAAAACTTATGATCTACACTGCTAATCTTCAACTAATTCACACTGTTTTTTAAAGGAGAGAGAAAGATGTATTCTCAGATTCAAAATGAAAAAGACAGGCCAGGACGGAACAGGCTCAGAGCTAAATAAGGATTAAAACAGCAAGATGAAGAAGAATATCTTATACAAACAAGCAAGCAAGCAGACAAACAAACAAAAACAACATCAGGATCTGTTCTGGGGTTTGGATGGTTTGAATGGAATGAAATATATTCAAACATATTGTTTAAAATATATTTAAAAACAAGCATATTCTTACTATAAGCATTCTTAACTCAGCTGTGAGAAGGGTTTCCATAGTCGTAGTAATTCAAAATTATGCTCAGCAAATATCAAACTGAAAAATCTGACGTGAAAAGAGTGCCCATAGACTGGACAACATTTTTTTTTTTACCAATGCCACATCAGACAAAGGGCTAATTACCAAAATATACAGAGCTCTACAGCAGCTCAAAAAGAAAACAACAGGAGACTAAATTAAGAAATGGGAAAAAGACACTGAGTTAGTTAATTTTGCCAACCTGGCCAATAATCACATGTGGGGCTAATTGAAAGGCGGAGGAATAAATGGGTGGTGAGCCTCGCCTTTCTAGTTCTCCGGTCTCTTGCTTTGTGATGGTCGCACCAGGGTGAAGCAGTTCCCTGCTTCAGCTTGCAAGATTGACTTCCTACAAGACATCCCCAAGGAGAAGCCGCATGGACCTATCCCAATGCAGCCCTGGGTGCTGGAGCAGCCGTGTGGAGACCCCTGCTAGTGCTGAGATGCTTATTCATTCACTGACTCAGCTTTCCTCCTGCAGTAGGCATCATTGCCTCTGTTTTGTGAGGTGGAGGACTTTGTGGACTGGTGTTGGGTTAATGGATTAATGTTGGATTTGTGGGCTTGGGCAGCATTGGGTTGGGATGTTTTCATGTTGCACACTTTCTTTACATAAAACTCTCTTATACATGAGTTGCTATGGATTTGTTTCTCTAAAGTACCTAGACTAATACAGACATGAACAGGCAGTTCACTAAAAATGAAGTACAAATGCCTAACAAACACCTGAAAAAATGCTCAGAATCACTAGCCATGAGGGAGATGCAAATTAAAACCACAATGTGATACCACTTTACCCTGACAATGCCAACCCAAATCAAAATTGAAACTCCAAAATAGAAAACAACAAATCTGGAGAGGATGTGGAAAGATTGGAATCCATATATGCTGTTGGTGGATTTATAAATATATACAGCCACTATACAAAATGATATGGCAATACTTAAAACAACTGGAAATTGAAATCCTGTATGATGTATAGATGCCACTATCAGGCATTTACCCTAAAGAAATAAGAGGCACAACCTGAATAGATGTGTGCTCTCTGATGTTCATAGCAGCATTGTTTACAAACGCAAGAAACTGGAAGGAGCCCAAATGTCCAACAGTGGAAGGATGTATAAAGAGACTATGGTACGTAGACACAGAGGAATACTATGCATCCCTAAAAATCTGGAAACCATGATGCTGAGTGAAATAAGTCAATCACAAAAGGACACGTATGAGTGCTCTACCATAAGGAGAAAAACCAATTAAACAAGTCTTAGGGGCCAATTCCTGGACAAAAGGGGCCATGAACCATACACCACCTCCCTTTGACGCACCTCACAAGAGCCACCTTTTGAATTGTGGCCATGTTATCAGAAGAGACAAGTCGCTCAGGAAAAACACCAAGCTTGGTGAAGGAGAAGAGCCGCAGAAGAAGAGAAAGACCCTCAACAAGATGGACCGACTGAGTCGCTCCAACCTTGGGTGTGAACAACCGTAACCGTGAGGACAGCACAGGACCAGGCGGGTTCTCCAGTGTTGGACAGAGTGTTGTCATGACTCGGAACTGCCATCAAGGCACCTAACAGTCATGGCACTTATTAAAATATCAGATATTAGTTACACGCCAAATAGTGGAATAATTCTAATGGAAGAATAAAGGAGGGCATGTGTGTTCAGAGAGTTTATAAGATAACTGAATCTTTGACTTTCATATTGAAATTGGTAGCAAATATATAAAAAAATTTAAAGCTACTGAGACAGAATTAGCAAGTCACTTAGTGATCTGAGTGAATAACAGAAATGGCAGTTAAGGTCATTGAATTAAATTATCCTTCGTAGCAAGAATTTTACCTTTTACCTTATGTAGTGGGTAAATACGGAGCATAGAATTACTATATTTATATATATATTTATTTAAATTTCATTTTAGCTCATAGAAGCTGAGTGTCATTATTTGGCTAGATATAAGATTATATCAAAAGACTCAGAGTTTATGAAGTATGTGAAAGTGATATGTTGCTAACGATATTATAAAGCCAATAAAATGATAATATGACATAGTTAGGCCAGATTATGGGCAAACAAAAGAAAATCAGGATAACAAGAACACTCTGGGTTTTAAAAGGAAGATTTGTATATTTAAATATATGAAAATTAAGGGAAATCCTTGAGAAAATTGATGCTTTCAAATGATTTTACAGAAATTACTATGATGAATTGAACTTGCAAGTAGGAATAAAGGCCATTTGATCAAAACAAATTTAATCAGAAAACAATCTACAAAAATAAAAGAAAAAGTGTATAGTTGACAACCAAATATTTATGAATAATAAAATGCATTTTAGATGATTAAAATAACCTTTGTTGAAATACTAGAAGAAAAATGTCATAATTCCATGAGATGGACATTTTATGATAGTTGAATGATATCCTGACTGTGCCGACTTAGCTATTTTGTAAAAAAGCTATCAGCTCAGTATAGTTTTTACTAACATCTATTTCCCCTTAATTCTCAAGTTCTACCAAATATTAGGTTCGTGAGACCCATGAATCAACCCTATAAATTTATATATTTAAAACATTGGATGAGATATTGCCATTTATCTAAATTCTCAGAATAGATTTCGTATGCTGATATCGATACTCCAAATTCACTTATCCAGTTTCTAGTATCTTTACCCTTAACCAAAAATTTTAATTGCATATAAGTTAAAAAGTCATATTACTAACCTTTTGGAATCAGGTATCTTGTTTTTATTGATTTTATGCCAATACCTCTTGTTTTTGATTCAGGTAAAATAGAGGAGATATATTTTCTGTGCTCTTTATAACATCTAAATGCAATTGGAGAATATATATTCTGTGAAAACAAATACAAAAACAATGACAATGTTGCTATATCATAAATTTTAGAGTTTTCAAAGGGTTTTCATAAGCTTTATTCACTATCATGACTGACTTTCTTTAAAAAATGTCAATAGACTCTATGAGGTAGAAAAAATTAACACATTTTAAAAATAACTCTATTGTACTTGATTTTGATAAATCATCATGCATTAGCATTTAATTCCTGGTCTTAACAATGTTCTAAGGCAGACTGAGGGGAAGGATGACTTGCAAAGTGGTTGTCATGACAAAAGTAACTATGAGGAAAGGAGTAACAATAAAAAACAGAATTATAAGAGTATTGCTCAGAAAGTCTAAAATGAAGGCTATACGAAAGATATAAGAAATGAGCAACAACATGATTTCATGCAAAATGACAGTAACCCAGGAAGAAAGTGAGAGAGAACTGGAAGTAAAATGATCACAACCTTTAGAAAACACAAGTGGGTCAGCTCTACCTGGGAGAAACAAACAACAAACAAACAAACAAGTAGAATATTGAAGGGAAGCTTCTTCGTCACTGGAGGCACTGTCAGAAGTAACATGTAATGTTTATGAACTTGTTTGGGAATGGTATTGAAATACTGTGTCCTCTCACTTTCTCTTCACAGTAAATTCCTTCAATGCAAGGTAAATGAGGCTTTGGGTTTTGTAGTTCCAAAACAGCCCTTTTTGTCTCTGTATCAACTACAAAGAAGAGTAAAACTGTTCTAGGCTGTAGAACACTGCATATGTGTTCAGATATAGACATACAGATATATAGATTCACATGCACAAAAGCACGTAAGAGAACTTTAAAAGTTCATGGAAAAATTCCATTATCTTTTGATTTCATTTTCCCACAAACTTTTTGAAGTATTTGAAACTTTTCACATAGATTGTTCTATCTATAATTCAACCTCTATGAGAGAGATTCCTATTTCATGTGCTATTCACTTTTCAGTGGATCCCAGGTTGGACTTCTAGTCCCAAGTCAGCAGTTCGAAACTACTGGCCACTCCACTGGAGAAAGACTGAGCTTTCTACTCTCACAACGAGTCAGTCTTGGAAACCCACAGGATCAGGTCTACCCTGCCCTGTGGGATCCCCGTAAGTCAGAATTGACCCGATGATAGTGACTTTAGTTTGGTTATTCACTTTTCAACTCACTATCCCAACAGAGTTCTTTGAAATTTCTCTACCAGTAGCGATCTGCCAAGGCTTCAATTCAAAATGTTGATTTACACATCTTATTTTGATCTTTCTAGAACATTTTATCCATTGTTCCTCTTAGCTTGAAATTCCTCCTTCCTTGATACCACTTTCTCTCCGTTCCTTTTCAATCAGCTCTCTCTGTTTCTCCATGTTTGATTTGCATCTTCCTTTGCCTATCTTTTGAAGTTGGTGTGCTCCAGTGCTCTAGACTTATACACAGCACTCTCACCGTAGCTTTCGCTACTGTAGTTCAGTGGTGCTCAAGATAAAATATGATTCGTTTATGCATATGTATTGTATACAAATCAAAACAGAAGTAAGCATCTTAAACCTGTCAAAGTTATAATATGTTCTAACATTCTATAGAAAAAGTCTGAAAGTATTCCACTCAGAGAGGATACATCATTAGGACCCTACGCTCCTTTGACTTTTCTTTATCTTATCGATCCTAATACATGTTGCAGTTTTCTTACCAAGTTAGCTGCAAGGGAGAGCTCCGACAGCAGGTCTGCATTCCATGCAGAAGGGTAGAGAAAGGAGGGGAATGACAACTGGGCATATGCCCTGGGCCTGAAGGAGCATTCGCTGGAAAACTTCAAATAACATTGGTTTAAAGTCATTGCTCACTCTTAGTTGCAAAGGGGAAGAAAATAAGCGCATATCAGATATTGTTATGAAGAAATAACAGACAGAAAAACAATCATTTTTGTCACAGGGAAAGCTGTATCCTTGGGAGGGACATCTATCTGTAGTTTGAAAAATATTCTTCTGTGAGAAGCACGGATCTAAATTTGGAAGGCCTATAATTACACGTCTTCAAATGTATCTACTTTGTGAAGTGATTTTGCTTATTTGTTTGTGAAATAGTTGTATGATACTTATAAAGTGCCATTGTTTGTAAGCTCTTTTCAGATCTTAAATTATTGAATATTCGTAACAACTATGAACTTTGTGTCTCCATCCTAAAAATCTCACAGACAACTCATAATCAAGAGAATTGAAGCCATGTCTTTCTTTCAAATGTATTCATAACATCTACCTGGATACTTGAAAACATGCTCTTTCCTATATCTATAATTTTCTATTAAAATTCCTATACCATGTTATGCTTCTATTTAATTGAATATAGTAAGCTTCTATCTCATAAGGTTTGCTTGTGCCTTTACTTAGTGACTCATTCAGCAAAGCTCTATCAGTGCTCATAGAGACCCGACCACGTAAGGCTTTGTGGGAGCCGACAGCGCTAGCTGCCTCTGGAAAACCAGTGGTTGAGCTTGAACTGCCAAACTTGCAGCTAGCAGATCAAGCCTTCATTCACCGGGCCACCAGGCCTCATGCTTGTTACATGCATCAGGTGTTCCCTGCTTTCAGAATGAATCTCAGATTTTTATTTCTTTTTCTTTTTCTCTTCCCTAAATGATCTTTTACTCGGCAAGACTTACACAGGACAATTGTTACAGTCCTAACATGACAAAAACAGTCCAATATTTGGAAGGAAAATACATAAATGGTTCCTTTTTTTTTTTTAATGGTTCCTTTTGAATTCACATTGTCCCTTTATGATTAGGATTTTTTCTTCAGTTTGCTAAGAGTAATTATATTATAACAAAATAATATGAAAACATTTTCAAAATGTGGCATGATTTGATGTAAATTTGCTTCTATTTTCAAGTGAGCCCAATTATTACTATTAAGCAACATAGGACAAACCTGATATAGACCATTCGTTTGCAACAATCAATTCCAAATGCTTCTCAAGTCAAATTGCTCTAACAGCCCACTTCAGGCTCTACTATCATTCTTGCATCTTACTACTTCTATGAATTTTGTGCTGTGTTGGTAACATCTGTTTCTGTCTTCTCCCTAACTCATCAGGATATTTAACAATATTAACAATCACCTAAATTTTTTTCATTTCAACTACAGAAATAGAGCTTTTAATTATTCTATATCCCATACCCTTCTCCTTTAGTTAAAAAAATAATAAAGTCATTATATAACAGTGTGCTCAATTATTTCATTTCCACTAATACCTATTCCTTCACTTGATTCTAAAAGAACACGGAGAAAATTCTGATACAACCTTCATTTTATAAAAGTGAATTTATAGAATCGTAACATACAAAAACCAGAAATTAAGTATCTAGCTGGGTAATTCTTTTTACAGTTTTATTTTCTTCAGTTTCCCTACTTTTTTTCCCCATATAGCCAAGTATTGCTGTCCATGTTTGAAATAATGTTCCTTTCCTTAGCTAACATGAAAGGAGGATCCATGACCGAGAGTGCACACCAGACTGTGGCAGAAACATACAGGCAAATGATCAGAAAGCCTGAACGTTAAATCTACCAACCTCACACAGCTACTGAGGTGAGAAAATCAATGTTTACATTATAGTTAATCATGTCAGAGAAAGAAGGGATATGTTCACTTATTGGTTAACCTCTGAAGTCATGGCTAAGAGAGAATTATCAGAGGACTGTGGATAATCGAATAGACATATCTTAATTTATCTTCAATAATGTAATGCTAATTTTAATCATTAGAGTTCCTTGAACCTAAAACTTGTCCTCAACAATTTTAGAAAATATTTTAAGCTTGTTTGGTAGCACTTAGAAAAAGAACAATCATAGATTAGTAACATAAATTGGCAATAAAGTACTATAAAATATTATCTCACTTTTAATAGAGACAAATTAATTCATGTTCAAAATTACTCCACCTGATAAACCTGAACTTCAGAAATATATTTGATAACGTTTTAAATTTTTGTCAAAAGATAATCGATAATATGAGAATCATTATGCAGAATAACCACCAGAGACAGGAGGGTTAATAAAATCTAATATAATGCATGGATCAATTCACAGTCTTATCCTGATCAAAATTTATGTTAATTATTTGAATTAAAATATGAAGAGAATTCTTACTAAATTTTAAGACAAAGTGGAAGAAAGAACAAACATTAGATAGAAATTGACAACATTGTCAATCGATGGGAACAATGGATGTGATTAAACAGATGGTGTTGAATAAGCATAAATATTACAGTTAGAAAAATTCATCTAATCACAGACATAAATAATAAGAATGAAAACCACAAGTGATCATAGATTTTAATGGTTTAGCTAGAAACGAATTAATTAGGACAATATTGTATGATCTATTGTACATTGGACTAAGCACCTCATTTAGAATGAGGCCAGGGGCGGCCTTCCTATATTCTTTACCTAGCAGAGACACAGCTGAAGTACCGCTGCAAGCACAGATAAGTGGGACTATGCAGCAGACTAACCTGGATTATTTTGAAAGTAAATGCTATATGAACAGGCCATGCTAATTCTAGATTTGGGAAAGAGCTAAGAAAGAGAGATTTCAGATCCTTAGATCCAACTTCATCCCCCTCATCTCAGAAAATGAGACCATGCTGTTGATCAAAGTAGAAAAGTTAACCATTTGTTCTTTCTTTAACTCTTACTCTGAAACCAAAACTAAATGAGTTGCAGCTGTTGAGTAAATCCAATAGGCTCCCTGGGGAGAGGCAACCATCTGTGGTTGGGTTTGGACCACCAACCAGTTGGTTAGTAGTTAAGAACTTAACCTTTTATGCCACTGAACATCAGTTAATTTTGTTAAAATGACTTCCAATTATATTTAAAATCTGTCCAACTGTGTCCATTATCACTGCCATAATTCTAATAGAGACTATAACTCTTTCTTTCCAGATAACTAAAAATAACACCCTGATTGGTTTTTGTCTTCACTTTACATTTATCAAAAGTATATCTAATCATGTGTGTTTTTAGCTTTAATCTCGAATTATGTCCATTGTGATCATATATGGACAACAAAAAATATCAAAATATAGAGACCATAGTTACATAGTTAAATTCATACCATGCTACTTTCTCCATTAGACTTCTGACACTGAATTCCATTCAGTTCCTTAAACACAGCTCAACCAAGACGAGCTTCCACGTGCTTCATCGTCGAAGTCTCCTCTTCCTGAACCCTTTCAATCCTGTGCTTTACACGGTTAGCTCCTAAAGTTTCCGACCTAAACTTTAAATATTTCCTCAGAAAAGTCATTTCTGGCAGCCTTCTTAAAGCAAGGTTCTTTCTGTTATTTATCTCAACCGCCTGTTTATTTTATTTATAGCCCCTATGACCATTTTATTTTGAATTTGAGTTATTTTTTTCTAGAATCTCATTTCACAACAGGCACACTGGGTCGTGTGGTGAGCGATGCAGGAAGCTGCTAACGACGGAGTCAGCAGTTCAAAAGTACCAGCAAGTCCACGGGCGAGAGAAGGCTGTTCTTTCTTATAAGGATGTCACGTCTCAGAAATGCAAAATGTAGACAACTGGACATCCCTTGCTGCAGGGTCGTGGGGAGGAGACGAGTCACTCAGGGTGCAGTGTAGCATCAATGAAACACACAACTTTCCTCTAGTTCTTTGAGGATCCCAATTCTACCTTACAAATCTGGCTAGACCAGAGGATGTACACTGGTACAGACAGGAACTGGAAACACAGGGAATCCAGGACAGATGATCCCTTCAGGTCCAGTGCTGAGAGTGTCAATACTGGGAGGGTGGAGGGAAGAGGGGGCAGAAGGAGGGAACCGATTACAAGGATCTACATATAACCTCCTCCCTGGGGGATGGACAACAGAAAAGTGAGTGAAGGGAGACGTCCGGCAGTGTAAGATATGATAACTAATAATAATAATATATAAATCATCAAGGGTTCATGAGGGAGTTAAAAAAAAAGTGAAAAATGAGGAGCTGATTCCAAGAGCCCAGGTGGAAAGCAAATGTTTGAGAATGATGAGGGCAACGAATGTACAAGTGTGCTTTATAGAATTGACGTATGTATGGATTGTGATAGGGGTTGTATGAGCCCCCAATAAAATTATTTTTTTTAAAAGAAATGCAAAATGACAGTTCAACCCTGTTTTATAGTTGGAATCAATTTGTCAGTGAGAATGAGATTTTTTCTTAATAAGTAAATGCTTTAATTTCTTACATTTTTTCTTAATTTTCTTTTCTATCGGCATGCAATTCATATATCATACAATTCAAGAGTTCAATCATATTGAGAACAATTATAGAATCATCATCACAATCAGTTTTATAAGATTGTCTTCTTTCTGGCGGAGTCCAGCTCTCTTGGAGAAGTCTCCACGTTGGCTCTTTCAGGCGTGGCTTGTGAAGAATGTTGTGGCAGTCGAAATTCCCCGGTATTTGCAGCCTGCAGCCTGGGTCATCAAGCTCTGGATAAAAGCCAGGTCAATAAAGTGTCTAATCAGGAACATAGTAGCAGGTGTGTTCCACCTTATATAAGTCATGTAACGTGTTTTTCCCAGTGACAGGTTACCCCATTCCGTTTACCCAGCAACGGAAGTGTTACAGCCATCTTTGAGACAAGCATGCCCTGGCAAGCACAGCCCCTCTCCACATTGTGGGTGTAAGGGAATAATGTCATGATTGTTTGAATTTGCATATCCTCAAGGGATGTTGATCAGGAGCATTTTTAAATGCATTTGTTAGCCATTTGAGTGTCATATTTGGTGAGCTCTCTGTTCGTGTTTTG